TACTGCAGCTTCTCAGAAACCAAACAGAGTGTTAGAGGAGTGAAAGAAACTTACTGGAGGAGATGGAGAAGATAGAAAATCCAGCAACTCTTCCAACTCGGTGGCCATTGCTGCTCCTTCGCCGCTCTGTGCAAATTTTACATGCATTTATAGATCGTCAAAACGACTGCGTGTTGGTTGCCACGTCCAATCAGCTAAACGCAGCGTTTCAATTATTATGTCCTTACACAATTTCGATAAATGAAGTAATGAAAGAGGTGAACTAAATCCAAATTTAAAAGTAAAATATTCCCTCATACTTAAGAAAAAAAAAAAAAAAAAACTAAAATATTCAATTATTCACTTATAAATTTTCTTTAATATTACTCATTTTATATACATGCCAAAAAAACTCATACAAAATTATGCATAATACAATTATACTATATAATGTTTTAAAACTCGGCCTGATTCGACCGGTTGAACCGGTTTGACCGGGACCCGGCCACTAAGCCGGGTCGGATGGACATAAAACCTAGAAATTAAATTCACCCGGTATGACCTACGATTGGACCGGGGTTATTGTAGCAACCTGCCAGTCCAACCGGTTTTAGGAAGAAACCAGGTCAACTCTAAGCACCTTCTAAAATGCGAATTTTTTAACAGTTTTCCCCAAGTTTTTCATTCTGTCAAGTCCTAACCCATATTTGCACTCTTGCATTTGTCTATTTCTTCATTTCTTTGACGATTTGTTCGTTTCATCTATTAAATTTTTCATTTCCACTTCAGCGACAACTTTGTTTCATCTTCATTTCATCTCATCTTTGACATCATTTCTAGTCATCGTCGGAGGTACCAACTATCATTTCATCTTTTTTCGATTGATTAATTATGAGGAGAAGCATGGATGAGTCCAGAAGGAGGGTAATTGAAGTAACTTCCAGGAGTGATTCTCTCTCTAATAGAAGAATGATTGTTCAAGTCAAACAAACAACACACATCAAAATAAAAAACACAAGAACAAGAAAAATAGCAAATAGCCGATAAGAAAACATGAAAAAGAAGAAGAAAAAGACAGACTTGGGCAATGAAAAGAGAGAGGAGGACGGGGAGGTAGATGCAAACTGGAGGGAGGTGGAAGTGGTGTTACTGTGAGAGAGTCTTATCGTCTCTCTGGTCTCTCTCTCTTTGTTTCTTTTTTATTTGGGGTGTTGTGGACTATGGAGTCTTGTCGTCTCTTTGGTCTCTCTCTCTCTTTGTTTCTTTTTTATTTGGGGTGTAGTGGAAGTGTGTTGTGAAAGCCTTCTTTTTACTTTTTTTTTTTTATTTGTGATTTTTCTGGAATTTTCTTTTGGATGACATCATGCTGACATCACCAATTGAACCGGTCGACCCGGGACCCAGCCACTTTACCGGGTTTCACCCTGGGTCGGTTTTTAAAACATTGATACTATATAATGATAATTTAGTAAATGATATATCAATACCACACGGAACAACACATCCTTTAAGGTAAAAAATTTCGAACATTTTTAGAAAAGAGTAACATTACACTAAACTTTAATTAATTAACATTAAGTATTCGAAAATTTGTTCACACAAGTCATTAGTAAGAAATGCCTCCAAGGACTTAATCTTGTGGTTTAAACACATGTGTCTTTCAAGTCAGTAATAATCTAGAAAATCAACTATCACTTTGGCACAATAGACTAGGACATCTGCATGCTGAATCCTTACATAAGATCCTATCTTCTATGCATAAAAATCTTGCTGGTCATATGTCACAGTTACCTTTTTGTGATGTTTGTAAATTAGGTAAACTTCATAGGAATAACTTCCCAATTTCTCACTCTAAAGCCACTCATCCTCTTGAAATTGTTCATAGTGATGTTTGGGGTCCATCTCCAGTCATTTCCTTAGAAGGATATAGATATTATGTCCATTTTATAGATGATTATAGTCATTTCACTTGGTTATTTCCCTTAAGAACAAAAGCTGAAGTTTATTTTGTGTTTGTCAAATTTCATCACTTGGTCGAAAGGCAATTTAATTGCAAGCTCAAATGCTTGCAATCAGACCAAGGTGGGGAATATAAGGGTCTCATTTCTTATCTAACCACTGCCGGGATTCAATTTCAGCATTCGTGTGCATATGTTCATCAACAAAATGGGCAAAGTGAGAGAAAACATAGACACATTGCTGAAACTGGTCTTACCCTATTAGCTCATGCATCCATGCCCTTGCATTATTGGTGGCTTGCATTTGATACAACAGTGTTCCTTATAAACAGAATGCCTACTTTTGTATTGAACTCTCTTTCACCATATGAAGTCTTGTTTGCATCAAAACCACTATATTCTTCTCTTAAAACCTTTGGATGTGCTTGCTTTCTTTATCTTAGAGATTTTAATAAACATATACTTAGTTTTCATTCTTCCAAATGTGTGTTTGTTGGTTATAGTCTTATTCACAAAGGATATAAGTGTGTCAATGAGATAATAAGGAAGGTAATGGCAATATTATTTTATTTAAAGAAGACACATTAGAAGATAGAGATGGTTTATAGGGATTGGAGTCAGTGGCCTCTAACTTACAATTGCTATTAGAAGACGGTATTGCAGTCATAATACAACTGTTATTAATAGAACTAGCCTTATTTTCTTCATGTAAAGTAGATCCTAAGGATGTTTTTGCAACAGCAGTAACATAAGTTTGAGGAACAGAAACAGACTGACTACTAGACATAACAGCAGATGATATCAGGGAAGGAGAAGTGTGTGATGATAGGTTAGAAGTTATTTGCAACTGATACAGCCCAACCTTAAGTCCTCCCTGCAACAGAACTGTTCTGGAAGCTTTGTTCTTTACAGTGCAATAATCACAATCAAACTCAACAACAACATTATTATCTTTGGTAAGTTTTGAGATACTAAGAAAATTCTTTGTAATCCTAGGCACACAAAGCACATTCTTTAAGTAAACACATTTAGATTTCAATGAACTAGGAAGCAAAGCAAAACCAACATGAGAAATGTTTAGAGACTCACCGTTGCCTACTTGTAGTTGATCATTACCATCATAGTTGCGGCTGGCTGTTAACTGATTTGGATATGATGCAACATGATCAGTTGCACCAGAATCCATATACCAGGTTGGATCAGGAGGTGAGTTGGAAGTGATGATGGTAGGATGAAATGAGTTCATGTTAGGGAAGGGTGTAGCTGAGTGAGCAGCAAAAAAGGCTTGGTTTGGGGGTTGCATTTGTGGATTGGGAGCCCTGAAGCTTGGCTATTGAGTTGAGTAAGAAGCTTGCTTTTGTTGATCAGACTGATATTGTTGAGACTGGTGATTGTGGCTTCCATTTTGTTGTAGATGATGGCCATAAAAGTTATTGCTAGGATCAAACATGTTGCCAGATGAATTAGTACTGAAGCTACCAGGACCAGCACCAAAACCATTAAATTGCTGTGGTGGATTGAAGTGAGCTGAGGCACCACTAGTATAAATGGTATTAAACTGTGGTGAAGAACCATTATAGTTGGAGTTGTAATGATGATAGCATTGAATGGCTGTGTGTCCCATTTTGCTGTAAACTTGACAAATTGGTTTGCCTCTCCCATTGTTTCTGCCCCTACCTCTACCATTTCCAACATAGCCAAAGGGTCTATAGGCAGGTAAATTGGAAAGCTGACTTATAACCTCAGATAAGAGGTGAGAAGAGTTCTGATTCATTGACAAACCTCCAACAGTTAATTGATAATTCTGTGAAGGTACAGATAGAGCATTCTGCAATGAAACCATATGATTGATTGATCCAAAATGTCCAGTTCCAGGACTTCTAGAAGAATCTTCAATAGAGTTTAAAGGTACTGATGCTGAGTTGGGACAAGGAAGCTGAGACTTAGTTAAGTTGGGACTAAGTGATGCCACGTTGACTGAGTAATTTGGAAATCAGGAGAATTAAATTTCTCAAGTCTCAATTCATATTTTTGCAGCAGGAATTGAGCCTCTTGTAAAGTAATTGAATCAAACTTGGACTCAATCCTAGAAGTCAGATTGACAACAACTACATCAAACTCTGGACCTAATCCATCTAAAACATACTGTAACACTGCTTCATCTGAAACAATCTAACCACTAGACGATAAACTCTCAGCAATCCCTTTCATTTTCTTCACATACTCACTAACACTCAAATTGCCTTTTTGTGTAGTTTGGAGTAGGTTTTTCAAATTCAGAGCTCTGGCTTTAGAATCAGCCAAGAACTCGTTTTCAAGTGTAAACCAGATATCAGTTGCAAACTTGCATTTTGACACTTGACTGAACATGCATTCAGAAATTGATGCTAGGAGCCATGTTACAAGAAACTTATCTGTCTTTTTCCAGATTATGTATTCCGGATTAATCTTTTCTTTTCTTTTCCTAGGGTTTCCTTAATCTCACTTGAGCTCAACTCTTTCAATTCATCATCATAGACAATAAGAGGTTCAGGACATGTAATCAAACTTGTTAGATGTTCTTCAAGATTGTAAGCACCTACTGTAGAGAGAACTTGAGACCTCCAGAACTGATAATTGTCTCGATAATTGTCTCTAGTCAGTTTTGGAGTGATGACTTAAAGACTGGAACTGAAAATCGAAGAATGAACACTGGTTGAGCCGTTAAGCATCTTCTCTGTACTTTTGTTTGACAGATTGTTACCAGGAACTCTAGCCATTGACGTTAGTCTTTTGGCTCTGATAACATGAAAACCTCAAAGAAGAATAGAGAATAGAAGAGAGAAAAGGATTTCTATTGATATTTCGTTGAAGAAAAACAATTACAATTAGCTCATGTTTTATACTCTCATAAGCTGAAGCAAAGATGAGTGAATTGATAACTAATAGCAGCGTTACAAACAATGTAAACCTCAAGAGCAAAACGAAACCGTATACAAGAAAGGCAAGGGACAAATTGCAAGGAGATCCTTAACTCTTCATTTTATGACAAACAGATCTAAATGTGCTCTTGTGTATGAATATATGCCAAATGGATCTCTTGATAAGCATATATTTTCCAAGACAGGCAAATATCTATCATTTAGTTGGGACAAACTATTTGAAATTGCTCTTGCAACTGCTCGTGGGATTGAGTATCTCCATGGAGGATGTGATGTGTATATTCTTCATTTCGACATTAAGCCACACAATATCTTGCTAGACCAAAATTTAATCCCAAAATTCTCTGACTTTGGACTTGCAAAATTTTATCCAAAGGAAAATGATTTTGTGTCTATTAGTGCTACAAGGGGAACAATAGGATACATAGCTCCTGAATTGATTTCAAGGAATTTTGGAACAGTTTCTTGGAAGTCAGATATATATAGCTTTGGAATGTTGCTGTTGGAAATGGTTGGAGGAAGAAAAAATTCTGATATGAAGGCAGCTCGTTCAAGCAAAGCATACTTCCTCTCATGGGTATATGACCAAATCAATATTAGTGGAGATTTAGAGCTCCTAGATTTGACTGAAAATGAAATCATGATTGCAAGAAAACTTTGTTTAATTGGGTTATGGTGCATACAAGTGAAGCCTTCAAATAGTCCCTCAATTACAAAGGTTATTGAAATGTTAGAAGGGAGAACCGATGACTTGTAAATGCCTCCTAAGCCTTTCTTTTCTTCTTCTGAGCATGTCTGTATAAGAGAGATTCAATCAAACTCTTCAACTGAGTTGCTATTATTTGAATCAATGGAAGGATGCTCATACAACAATAGTGGTGTGTAATTAGTTCTTGCAATGAAATGTGTAAAAGTAAAATAAAAGCTACATTTGTTTGTAATATGGTCATGTTCGTAATTACTTTTCTTGTATTAGTTTCCATGTGCCAAATTTGGTTGTACTATGAAATGATCAAAATGTTTTGGCTGACTACCATAGTCTTTGATAACGAATAATTTAGTAGAAATTATATTATACACCCGTTGATTAATGTCTGGTCAGGTTATCTAGACTACTAGTGATATTTCATTGATCACTCCCAAACTTATCAAATTTATACTAACAAACTTCTTTTCTTCTTCTGAGCATGTCTATATAAGAGAGACTCAATCAGACTCTTCAACTGAGTTGCTATTATCTGAATCAATGGAAGGATGTTCATACAACAATAGTGATGCATAATTAGTTCTTGCAATGAAATGTGTAAAAGTAAAATAAAAGCTACAGTTGTTTGTAATATGATCATGTTCGTAATTACTTTTCTTGTTTAGTTTCTATGTGCCAAATTTGGTTGTACTATGAAATGATCAAAATGTTTTGGTTAACTATCCATAGTCTTTGATAACGAATAATTTATTAGAAATTATATTATACACTCGTTGATTAATCTCTGGTTAGGTTATCTAGACTACTAGTGATATTTCATTGATCTCTCTCAAACTTATCAAATTTATACTAACAAACTAAAAACATGTAAAAAATATTTTTTTAACTAAACAAACTTGAAGCTAGGATTGGCCTCACGAAGCCATACAAGGCCATTCTAGGCCTCGTTGCAGTCACCGAGGTTAGATTTGGCCTCATCACAGCCACGAGAGGTGAGATTCAATTTAATAGAAACGGTGGCACTGAGATTCAAGAGATAAAGACGAGGGAGGAGGAAGAAGGAAGAAGGAAAAGAAAGAAAAAATACCTTCTGATTTTCAAAACAAATTAAATGCCAATAATACTTGTTGGAAAAGATGGAAATGTCAACAATATGTTACTATTACTTAAATTTTATTGACAAAAACTAATGAAATGGGTGCAAAGGTCAAATTTCCCATACCAACGGCAGCGGGTCACTTCTGCAAACATACGGGGTTGACAAACCAACAATGGGTTGGTCGAGTGGTAAAGGCTTAGAGCCAAGGGGTTTACTCCCTTTGTGGTCTCAGGTTCGAATCACAAGAACAGTTGCTAATATTGTTGGCCATGGACCGTAGAACTTGCCTTATTTTAGAAGCCTTGTTTGGGGTCGGGGGACTACTCAAGGTGTGCATAAGCTAGCATGAACACCCTTCATAATAATAATAATAATAATTAAAAAAAAAAAAAACATACGGGGTCGACAAATAAACACCAATAAAGCAATGATTCCAAAAGAACCGATTAATGAAAGTTTACATTCTAATGATTTAATTACCTAAAAGTAGAGGAGATAAAATTGTAAAGTTTATTAACTATAATTGTAAAGTTTATTAACTATATTGTATATACTGTACATATATAGTTATTCTTGTAGTTAGTTGTGAGTTAGTTGTATGAGTTAGTTGGGTTGATGGTTGAATAGTTAACTACATTAGTTAACTTCTATAGCTGTTGCTATAGTACAAAAGGTGCGAACCCTAGTTATAATATTTGACACTTACAAATTAATAAACAAAAGCCTTTTTCCCCAAATTCTCTGTCCAGTTCATTAGTTTACATGGTATCAGAGCATTTTGTCAAAAAATCCGCTTTTTACTCAGATAACCAATCAAATTGAGCTTCAATAACTACTTTCCGACGAGTCCACGTCTGAATCGTCACTGAAATTTTGAAGTTGTCTTCAAATTTAGACTTTTTGAGCTTTATCTTCCACCATGGCCAGCTCAGTTGAAGAATTTGTTACAGGTCCAATCGATTCTAATTCTCCAATGTATATTCATCCTTCAGATACTCCAAGAGCCATGTTAGTGTCTGAGCAACTAATTGGGATTGAAAATTATGGGATTTGGAGTCGAGCGATGACAATTTCTCTTTGCGCGAAGAACAAATTAGGTTTCATCGATGGAACTTGCAAGAAACATCTTATCAATTCTACTCTAATTATACATTAGGAAATGAGCAATTCTCTTGTTCTTGCTTGGACATTCAACACAGTTTTGAAGTAGATATTCAACGGTATCATCTATTCCACAAATGCTCATCAAATTTGGCAAGACTTACAGGAGCAATATCACAAAGTTAATGGGACTAGAATGTATGGTATACACCGTGAGATTGCCAATCTTACACAAGGAATGAATACGGTAGCAATTTATTACAATAAGTTCAAATCTCTTTGGGACGAGCTTAATTCTTTGGCCAATCTACCATCACCGGATAGTGCTTCTGCTAAGGCATATCTAGATCACTTGAATCAGCAAAAGTTGATACAATTTTTAATGGGGCTTAATGACTCTTATTCCATGGTAAGAAGTCAAATTCTGCTTATGTCGCCACTGCCCTTTATCAAACAAGCCTACTTAGTTATTAATCAGGATGAAAGCCAAAAGATGTTGTCTGACATTAACATCAATTCTGAAGTCACTACTGCCCTTTATGCGCCAAATAATTCAAGAACTTAGAGTCAAAATCCAAAGTATAAAGGGAAAAAGCCTTACGTTGTGTTAGTAAACGGTCTCATATACGTAGCGGAAACAACGAAAAATATAATATAAGGATCGTTTACATGAGCCAAGATCAAGGGTATAATTTTACAATTTATATTAAAGTAAAATTTGCATAAAAGGTTATTCATGAGTTTAGAACCATACGCACGTTTGGAGGCTCCACCACATTTGTCTTTGAACGTTTTGCTACCAACCCAAGCGTAGGATCGAACCCACATAGTCCATACGAAGACAATCACAAAAGAGCCAAAGAGAGATTTGCTAGATCCTCTTTGGCTTTAAGATTAAGAAGAAATGAAATGAAATTGAATTGATTTTAGGCAAAAAGTGTTTCTGCCATGGGAGAGAATGAGAAGGGTTGCTGTGTGTTTTATTTTAAAGAGAAATCAATTTTTTCAATTAACACACACTTTTCTTTTTTATAGTAAATCAAGTTGCCATATTCCCACATGGAATAGACTTGGACTCCAACCCAAGCACCCCATGTTACCAAACACGCCCAATTTGATATTTTATTTTCCACCATTATCTCAATTAAAATCAATTAATATTTATTAACATTTAACAATAACGATAATATATATTTAAATATGTGTGAACACATATTTAAACTTAATTTCACTTATTTAATTTTTCTAACAAATTAAATAAAGGCTACGACCTCAGCAAATTTAATTGCACTGTGAAATTACCAAAATACCCTTTCACCTAAAAAGACGAAAACGCCCTTCTTTCTTCTTGGCTCTTAAATTATATTCTATGTGTGTGACCCATAGGCCCCTCATCATACCAGCAGTGTATAGTATCATGATTAACACCAATTAATCGTCTCACTAATACACAGACCAAGATTGGCCCCTAGCAAGGCATCATGGCCACCCGATAGATTCGGATTCAGCAAAATAGCTACCTGTCAATGATATGGTTACCGTGCAATTCGATCCTTTCATCATACGTTATCTAGATGAGACGAAGGCATAGAAATAGTGTCAACCTTCGGTTACTCTTGATATTAT